GCCGGCTGCTTGAGCTACGACGCTTTACATGCCGCCTGCTCAAGCTTCACATCCGACCAAGCATGGTGCCGGTCTCCTTTGGTGGTTGATCAAAGAGAGTTGGCTCTCTCATAGCACCAAGATACGAGGGGGTGTTTTCAATAATCATTTGGCATGCCGCCTGTTGTATGATGTCGATTGCCGAGCCACTTGTATATAGCTTGCATATTCACAGGTGGCTTATTATGCCGCTTGTGTTTCTAATTCATCTTCAGTTTTCCACTCAGCAAGGAGTCTATCAAACATACGGCTTTCGCCCCTTGCTTGTGCTACTGCCGGATGCTTTAATCATAGGTGCCCATGCTCCACCTTGTACTTTGTCAATGATTTCAAAGGCCGGCTGGTTCTGCCGTGATGTGCCGACTGTTTTTAATTGCCGTATAGCCTGACTTGTGATGGTAGCGAGAGCCGCCTGTTATGAAAATTTACAAACTCTCAAGATTAGACGTCCACTCCCGTCTTGTGTATTATGATTAAAAAAATTTTTGCCATGCATAACGAACACACTCTTGTCTTGTTGTGCCTTTGCTAGCTAGCTTGTGGCACAAATTTATGCAATTTCAATGGTTCATTGGTTTAGTTTTATGAGCCTAGGACCCACACTGCTTGGGAGCTTTGATATATCAGGCGTCTAGGAGAGACAATTACATCAAATAGCCCTTGTTTATATGAGCGAAGCCATTCAGCTGCTTATTAGAGACGCTTGTCCTTGAAGTGCCGTATCACAACCTGTGCGACCACTCTTAAACTCCCAGGTGTAGGGAAGTATGCTACGCATTCCATAGTCCCGCATTCGTTTACTGAGTTAGCTGTGAATGTCGCCTGCTTATATGAACTAGATGGCTCTTGTAAACCATAGCCGACTGTTTTTGCGATGGCCATTGAGATGTGAGATGCTCGGCCCTCCAGACTTGCCTAATTTTCTTAATGCAAGCTAGGTAGAATTTGCAAGTAACACAACCATGATGAAGGCCGGCTGGTTTTGTTATGAGGTGATGGCTGTTCCGTATCGTTCCTGCCCATTAGATATTTGTAGCTGTCCATAAAAGAGTGCCGGCTGTTTCGAGCCATTCGAGTCTTGATTTAACGCTTGTATGTGTTTGAGATGAGAGCCATCAAGCTCTCGCTTACAAGTTTCAATAGCGGAGAGCCGAATGTTTAGGGTAAAATATGGCTGAACGATGTTTTGGCTGGGATGAGGGTTGGTGCCGCCTACTCAAGCCCCTGCTCAGTCCAAGCACAAAACTCGTAGTCTGAACTTACATAGCCTGAATTTACTCGACCATGACCCTTCGAAATTCAAGAATCACATAGCCTGAACTTACATGAGGAGCAGGCCGGCTGCTTCCATGGTTATAAGAACTTGAGCTTAGCTATGCTTTTAATAATCAATGGTTGCGAATGCCGCTTCGTTCTTTGCGAATGGTTTTAATGGCCGGTATCCTTCTTGTAGGCTAGCTGATAGTATGAGATAAGCACTTTATTTTAAAATAATTCTCTCGGCTGTCGTTGAATGATTATAGAGCCGATTGTATTAAACCAACCGCGCGTTGATTTTGGTTGCTATGTAGTTGCGGTTGTTTTTGCTGGGTAGGTGCCGCCTGTTTCTCCTTGAAACAGGGCCTCGTACAGTCGACTCATATGGTGCTTTGCTCTTAAAGGGCCAAATGCTTGGAGTGCCGCACGATTATTCTCAATTCTCAAGTGTGGCTCGGTTTCTCGCCTCGAACTCGGCATTTGGCCGCCTATTTTTGAAATGCTTGGGCCGGCTGTATCAAAGAGGAGCATTAGCGTCTCGGTTATTTTGAGGCCGCCTGCTCTGAAATCATTCGGACTTATGCCGGTTGTTTATCCCAACACAGCCAAGTTCAATGCACGTTTGCTAGTGGCAAATACATGCTATGTATTCAATATACCATCTGGCTGCTTCGTGGCTTAACTTGTATACAATCAGTCGATATTAGCATTGCAAACACCTATATGTGCTGCTCCTATTAGCACAGCTGGTCAACCACTCAAGCAGTACTACCGGGTTTCCTTGATATACGGTTGCCTATTATGCTTGTCCATTCGTTGCCGAGAGCTCTATTAGTGGCTTGCTAGACACATTACACTGGTTGAACACTCATGGAGGGCCGACTCCCTGAATACTCCCAAGAATCACTTAGCTTGAGCTTTACATGTGGAGCATGCCGACGATTTTCCATTTGTGAAGTTGCCCGCTGTTTGTTATAATCATGAGGGGCTAGGCTAAATTCCGCCTCATAAATAAAAAATTAACTTGATTGTGGCCTTGATAAGCTAATGCAAACAGGCGTCAAATCCCAAGGGCTCCACTTCTTTGACACCTCTCTTTAATGTACAAAATGAGAGGCTTTTAATTGTGTAGTGGATTGCCACCTAAGGCTTTAAGTGGAGTTTTTCCATAGAATTAGTAAGTTAGGCGGCTCCCTCTTTTTTTTTTTTTTTTTTTACAATCATAATAATGATTAATAAAAATGAGTAATAATGACTTGAAAACAATAGCTTACAAACCTATCCATACAACTCTTGGCATTCGGCCGTATGACGCTTGTAGTACTCGGCTGCCGGGCCGAATGCTTAGAGGCTGTTATCTTGCCGGATGTACTCATTGAGTGATGCTAGGCGCATCTAACTTCAATTGGGGGTGGTTACACCTGGCCGGATGAACAAGACGGATGGGTTTCCTCTTCCCTGGAGAAGGAAAGCAGTACTTTGTTAGGTCGATCACTGGTGAGTGCCTTGCCCTTGATTTTGGGTAAGGGGTCGCCTCACGATCCTTTACAGGTTTCGTCCTCCCAGGTTGGGAGGACCTTCTGGCCAACTGTTCTTTTGGGGAAACATGCGCCCTTTTATTTATCAAGTCTTGGATCTCCCCCTTAAAACTACTCATAAGGGTCATGAGTTCGTTCCTAGTAATAGGGGCAGATCCCTCGGTCGCTTGCTGATGACTAGACAGCAGGCCGGCTGGTTGACTTGGTCCAGCCTGGTCCTCCCGTTCCCTCCTTTCGGTGGGACGGGTGCGTCGAGCTCTTAAGGTCCCGTTAGAGGCTCTTTAGTCGATCACTGGCGACTGCCTTACCCCAGGCTTTGGCTAGGGGGTCGCCACACGATCCTTAACAAGTCTAGTTCTCCCGGGGTGGGAGGACGTTCTGGCCGACTGTTCCTTTGCGGGAACATGCGTTCTCTTTTTGATTAGCTCCTGGATTTCTCCCTTGAAACCTCTCATGAAAGACATGAGTTCGTTCCTAGTAACAGGAGCAGACCCCTCGATCGCCTGTTGATGCTCAGGCGGTGGGACGGGTACGTCGAGCTCTAAGGGACCCGTCGGGGGTCGTGTGAGTCTCGACATCGATTTCATTGTCGGTGTCCTGGTCCGATTGAACCAGGGGGTCGTCCATGGGACGCTTGTCACTTAGAATCGGTACAGACTGTGATGCCATCTCGAAAGTACTCTCCCCACAGACGGCGCCAAAATGTTTCGGGGTTTTCTGATGTCCTGCGGGAGAGTTACAATTCCGAGACTGGAACCGGATGCCTGTACCTGCAAAACAAACGGAGACTCCTTGTGGTAAGAGCTCCGCCTCCGACGATCAAGTTAGTACTTGTTTGAGGAGTGATAAATGCGGAAAGTAAAGGTAGGAGATCTGGTTCCTCTAGGGGAGGAGTGATTAATGTGTTTTGGTTTTCTCTAGGTGAGAGTCATTAATTGCTGAATCCCCTTTAATGAGGATTGATTAAGTATTTATAGTCTTGAGAAGCGTGCCAATCCTAGGTTTAGGTTAACCAGGGCAAATTGGGCTTCTCTCGGACTTTGGGCCTTGGTGGCCATTTTGCCTATTTGGCATATGGGAGGCCACGTGGCGTGGCCTGATTAGTCCATATTGGACCTCTTAGGGTGACAAGTGGCGGTCGCTGATTGGCCCACGTGGCAGGTCCGGATTGGTCCATTTGTCATGGGTAATTTTTACCCTAAATAGTACAGACTCCTGTGAAGCCATCTCAGTGGTACTCTCCCCACAGACGGCGCCAAATGTTTCGGGGTTTTTTGAGATGTCCTGCGGGAGAGTTACAACACCGAGACTGACCTCCAGCTGCCTGTACCTGCAAAACAACGGAGACTCCCTAGGGTGGGAGTTTCGCCTCCGACGATCAAGTTAGAACGTGTTTGTGGAGTATAGTGTGGAAAGTAATAACCCCTCGTGAGTCAGGAGGGTTCTGCAATGAAGATTGCTCAATTACCCCTCCTATGTCAGGAGGGTTCTACAATGAAAATTGCTCAGTTTTTGGGTTGGTTGAATGTGTATTCAATGTATGTTGTGTGTGTTTTTTTTTGTTGGGTTGTTCGTTGTAAGTCGTTTGCAAATGAGGATGGTTCCTCTATTTATAGAGAAGGAGTTCAATCCCTTTCTAGGGTTTGGTGACATGTGTCAGTAGAGGGTTGGTTCCCTTTGGGCCGCTCTAAGGGTGACACGTGTCAGCAGGCTATTGGGACACATATTGCGTTAACAGTGGTCCGATTATTAGGGGTTTTTTTTACCCCCAAACAGAACCAGTATAATTATTCATTGTTATATAAATATTCATTGAACTAGTAAAATTATTTATTGAGAGTTTGTGACTTGATTATTTGGACTTTCCAATTCCCTGTAAATATACAGTTTTTTCATCAAAATTATAAGGGAAAAACTAACGAATGGCCTGAAGGCGTTGTATAAGATAACTAAAAGTAAAACTATTAACTTGAAATAAATATTACATTAATTACACCGATCGACTCATGATTTTGACAAATATTATCAAATGAATGCCATTTTACGGAGTAGAAACTATTTTAAAGGTTATCAAAAGTTCAAGGCGCTCGTTAACAAGTTCCAAATTATAAATAGATGTTGCTATCCAATAGAAAGATTGTAAGATTTGTTACTAGATTTGCATGTAATTTGTGAATTATTAAGTGACAAACTGACAAAGTTGTTCTAGCTAGCCGTTGCAGGTGCTCTTATAAGCCCACGACACATTATTGTTCGAAGTTTCCGACAAAAATAATCATCATGTCGATAATTCTCCGGCGAAAAAATTTGAAACAACTCCTTCCATTTTCTCTCTCCTCTACTTCTCTTCTGCCATCTTCTTCATCATCTCCACAACACCTCCGCCAATATCACCGACACTCCCAATCCCTTAAACCCACCAATTTCCTTTCATCTCATCCCCAATTTCCAGTATTTCTCAAATTAGGGTTAGGGTTTCAAGGTCGGCTCAAATGGGAAGGAAGCTCCGACAATTACGACCAAATCAAGGCAGTCGTCAATTGCCCTCGTTGTTCAAAGCAAATGAATGTTCTCTTCTCGAATCGTCCATTGTCAATTACTCCCAACGAAGTGGGTGTTTATCAAGCGTTGAACATTTGTCCTCACTGCAAAACTGCGTTTTACTTTCGACCGTTTAAGTTGGCGCCATTGCAGGGGAGTTTCTTTGAGATTGGGAAGGTTGGAGGGAAGGATAAGGATAAGGATGGTATGATGATGGAAGGAAAGTTTGTGAAGGATGATGATGACGACGACGACGATGATGATAATAATGGTGAAGATGAGAATGAGAAGGTTTCTATGTGGCAGAAGTTGAGGTCTTATGTCAGGGATCTTCCTCCTCCTTCTTCTTCATCCGAGGGGTCGACACCGCTTTCCAGGGAGAATCTTTGGGCTGCTTCTAGGGTGGAGTGTGATAGTGTGCCTGGAGAAGTGCCCAAGGGAGGAGGAGGTGCGGTTGGAGAGAGAAGCGGGTGGGGCGGAGCGAATTTGGGGAAGAGTTTGCCCACGCCTAAGGAGATTTGTAGAGGGCTTGATGAGTTTGTCATTGGGCAGGAACGAGCTAAGAAGGTAAGGCATTGAAACTTCTTGTTTTGTTATGATTTTACTCTCATTGGTATTCTTCATGTAGCCGACCCTAAATCATTTATCGAGGATTTGTTGTTGTTGTCGTTGTAAAAATTACCTAAATCATTTAGCGAAGAAGGTAAGGCATTGAAACTTCTATGTACTCATTTTATATAAAGGAAAAAAACAGAAGGTAATTCAGCTTTTTGACTCAAGTTGAAACATATCCCATCGTAGTGTCTCATGTTCATTATAGATGGTTGGTTACCAAATCTGTGATACAGCTACTTGGTTTGTTATGATTTTATTCTCATTGGTATTGTTCATGTTAGCCAACCCTAAATCATTTTGAGAATTAGGATTTGTTGTCGTCGTTGTTACAATTATTGCATGTATTGCAAGCTCATAGGTTTAGTAGACCTAAGGGATGATTTTCATACCGTCCACAGTCGTCAGCACGCAAGCCGGCCTTTACATGAAAGGGAGTTTATGCTTGACTGTTTGACTTTAGTATAGGATTCAAGGGTATGGACAGGGAACTCTTCAGGGACATTTTTTTTGTAAATTTAATCTCTGCTGCTTGATTTGTCTTCCTGTTGCAAATTTAATTTGGAAGGCTAAAGGGCCTTTAATGGTGAGATCTTTTCTCGCTGGTGAGCTTTCCACAAACAAAGTGAATACATGTTGCAAAGGTGTAGGCTGAGGCTAGCTCTTTCATCTAATATGTGTTTGTTGTGCTGAGATGCTAGTGACTTTTGTTCACTTGTTTCCTACATTGTCTAATGGGGAGTTACCTTTGGGGGAGACTGTTTGCCTTGCATCAAGAGCCGTGGTTTTGCCCTTTGATGGTGGTGGATTGGTTATAAATCTATTTTGCGGGGTTTGTTGTGGACAGGGAGAATAAGTTATTGTGACAGCAAAGCACTAATGGTAATTTTGTGGTGTATTTGGTTGGAGTGAGATTCTCATGTCTTTTCTTGAGCTTCCCTTTACTCCTGATTGCTCTGTGTATCTCAACGGGATATGGAGGCTTGGGATTTTAAGAGTCATTTGATTGTAATAGTTCAAAGAAAACTGGCATAATCTGTAATTAAGATTCGTAATTAGATGATAGCTCGTTCTTTATCTTTGTGCTCAAGCTCTAGTTGTCAATATATTTTATTTTTTCTTTTAAAAGTTTTAAATGCTACTTGAAATATTAATGCAAATTTTACTCAATTCGATAAATTTGATAATTAATATGAAAAATTTACATAATGGATCGACAACTTATCTTTGTGCATTTTTCAATAGTTGTCTTTATATAGGGAGCAACCTTCAGATACACTGTGCAGAATATTTCTATATTAGTGCAGTAATGCCATTTAAGTAAGTGGACATTTATTGTGCTGAAAGAGTAATATTTTTGTTAGGTTGGTGGCATTGTTTTCTGTATAAAATGCATTTTTTGTTCCCCCCACCTCAACTTCCTTGCTGCATTATCCTTATTGTGTCGTCTCTAATCACTTGCCCATTCCTTTATGGTTAGTTTTTTTTTTTTTTTTTTCCTTCTTTTTTTTTTGGTCTGTCACCCATCAACTTTTTTTCCTCTTATTATTAAAAAGTGTGCCAATTATATATCCTAGTTAGTTATTGATTTTTGTTTGAGGCATATTTTATCAACTGCTTAATATTTTGAATTTTACTAAAGTTTCTAATTTTTATTTTTTTATTTTTTTTATTTTTTCCTGATAATATTGTTTTAAGTGCAGGTACTTTCAGTGGCAGTCTACAACCATTACAAGAGAATACATTACACTTCTGAGCAAAATCAGTTTGTTCTCTTGACACATTTTTTAAATAAAATTTTGCTTTTATGCTTGTAACTCTGATTCTTTGAGGTTCTTATATTTGGTGGTTGAAATGGTAGGTCAGGTGCAGATGTAGATGGCAATGAGGTGAAACAGGATGACTTTGATCTTGTTGAATTGGAAAAAAGCAATGTCTTATTGATGGGTCCAACTGGTTGTGGTATGGACCGCCTTTGATCTGTAGATAGCGTCCATCATAAGCTTACTTCTCCCTTCTCTCCAATACTTGATAGTAGTTATGCTGCGAGTGATGATTGGTGAACAAGTTTGTTCTGATATGTTTGCACTGATGTTGGCTGTAAGGACAGGGAAGACATTACTCGCAAAAACAATGGCTCGCTTGGTGAATGTGCCGTTTGTCATTGCAGATGCAACAACATTGACTCAAGTAAGTGATTTTATTTAATCTGATTGTTACTAGTAGCGGTGTATTGTTAGTTGGTACTCATATTAATCTTATGAATTTGGTGGGTATGTGACGCGGTAGCATATAAATCCATGTGGGTTTATTCTGTAACTTGCAATGCGATTGCAAGATGAGGGAGATGAGGGATGCAGGGCTTTAATTTAAGCCTGATTTCACTTATTCATTTATAGATTGCAAATTTAAAGTCAGGCTTGAGTTCTAGTTGCTCCCTTTTTTTTTATATTTTTTTTATTTTCTTATTTAGTTACCTGCAAAGTGTGGTCTGTGGGGGTTACAGATGAATCATATACAATGGAAACTGGACAACAACTATACTTGAGGACATTCCTGTATGTTGTAAGAGCTTCCTTTTCGTGGGACATAGTATCTTTCATTTCTTTGTCTCTTGAGATAATTTGGAGATGAAGCTGGTTTCTGTTTAACAGCGGTTTATGTTTTGAATATCAAATCTAAACAGCACTTCACTTCCAGTTCACATCAGCATGGCCCTGATGCCCTCTATAATAGTTCCACAATCCACACTTCCACATTAACATTCTGTTTTGTCATCCTCTAATCCAATGTCCCTAACATTCTCTTTGCACAATTTCACCAGTGTATCACTGACGTGAGCAATATTCTTTTTTCAATTTCAGGCAGGCTATGTTGGGGAAGATGTTGAGTCAATATTGTTTAAGCTACTAACGGTATGTCACGGGCAAGTTGTCCATTTTGCTGAAATTTGTTATTTAGGTTGACATACAGTATAAGTTACTGTTTGATTCATGTTTGCATGATTTTTTTTTTCTTCTTTTGCCTACATGGATTCATGGTTCTCTGTGTTACACATATTTATGCCAATAATTCCTGCACACACCCTTTTCACCTATGTTACATGGATTTGGGTACCCATGTCCGACACGGGTATGTTTCTAAGTGTCTTACTCGGCTACTTTATGAAAATTTCCATGAATTTGAACTAAAATGAAGTGTCGAAGTGTGTCTTACCCATGTCCGAGTGTCAAGGGTCCGACACGGGTACTTGAGGTGAGATGAAGAGTCCGAGTAACATAGCTTTTCACTTTAGAAAGAAAAGATGGTTTGTTGTGCTGGCTGTAGCTCGCTGTTGATTTTTCTTGTCGACTGGGATTTTATTGCTTCTCTAATGTTGTCTATTGAATCTGAAGGCCAAAGAAACTGAAGGATAATTGGTACATACTTCCTCTGTTTCATAATACATGCAACAAGCTGACTTTATAATATACTCATTGAAAGTCAACTTGTTGCATGTATTAAGTAACAGTGGATGTATAATAACTTTTGCTTTACATACACTATTAACAAATATATTGTCAAACTTATACTAACTACGTTTTTTTTAAGTTACACTTTTTCTTTTCCTGTTTTAGCAAAGTTTGACTTGCTTCTTAGCACATGCAACTCTCTTTCCTACTCTTTCTTACACAAACCCAAGCTACAACACTATCTTTCTCACTTTTCCTTTCATAAACCCCACTTGCAACACCCTCCCCTAGGTTTTTGTTCACATGCCCCAATACCTGCTCTCTTTCGTAGTCTTCTAAGTACATAAAAAAGTAATGTAGGTGGTATATGAATACTGCAAGAGTCCAAATGCTGGGATTGTTAAAGTACTGAAGAAGTATAATACTGCTTAGTACAAAGGTAAAATCCATTGCCCTTGAGTACAAAACACCTGCACAATTAATCTCATAATTTTACATAATACAACCTGACCTTATTAGACACCAAAATATTTTAAAGTTATTTTCTGGGTTTTGGGCACCCTCTACGGGAAACTCACTCCTTTGGTGGTTTGAACAGATTTGGTCTTCAGTTTTAGAGAATGAAATTTGGGGAAGATAAGATGATACCCGGATTTGGTCTTCGAATTTAGAGAATGCAAACTGTTAACACTTTATTCATACACGATTACATGCTATTTGATACATTAGCCAAAGAGTATGGTCAAAGTTTGCGAAGTTTGGTCACTAAAACAGTGTAGTAATAATTGAAGAATGGAATTAGTATATATAGTCTACGTCTTTTTTTCCTATTATTTTCCATCTCTGTATCTATTTCTAGGGTGAGGGGGAAGAAGAGACAGTGATTAAGAGAAGGAAGCATTCGTAATTATCGTAAATGTTAAGTGCTGTAATTTTTTACACTTGAAAGCACTATGAGCCTTTTTTTGTTCCCCCTGATTTCCTTTGTTGTAGTAGGTATTTAATTTTTACCCAAGCTTTTTTTTTTTTTTTTTTTTTTTTTTTTTTTTTTTTTTTTTTAAATTTTTTTATTTTTTAGAAAATAGGTAAGCAGACCATTTCTTGTACATCATGTTAGTATCTTTGATCTTACATTTTTTTTTGTCTTGTTATTTGACTATAGGCCGCTGACTTTAATGTGGAAGCTGCACAGCAAGGGATAGTCTACATTGACGAAGTGGATAAGGTTACAAAGAAGGTACTCACTTCTAATTACATGATAGCTTGATAGTATGCTGATTTTTGGCTTTATTTATTTATTTATTTTTTGTATAGTGACACCTTGGTGTCATTTTGAGATACATCTTTATTACTCCAGTTTTGGGTGCTGGACTTATGGTTGAATTCTTGTAATCATGGCATTGCAAATGTGAGACTTTTTGTTTTTTTTTTGTTTGTGCCTGTCCATTTGAGTGTGAGCATACTAAGAAATTGTTTTGGTAAGTTTGTCTATAAGGTCAATAAATCATGAGAGATTTAGGGACTAACATTGAAAGGCAAAAAGAAGCATTTAAATGTAGCTGAAATGATAAATAGGCTAAGAAAACTTATTTCTTTTTAAAACACTAGTTTGGACAGTTAGTAAAACAACGACTACAGCGTCTGAAATATATGAGCTCGTTTCAGGGCAAAGAAAAAAGAAAAAGCTTTGACTTCATGCCTGTTTTCTCAAGAAACCTATGTATTGAACCCTATTGTATCTGGAAATCAACTGGACATGGATGTCCATAATAAGACAGGACAAACTCTATCACTGGGGTTTTGCATGAGAAAATCATACATTTATAAATTTAGTCATTAGTTAATTGGCTGTAGGTGTGGATCTTGGGTCAGTTCATTGAAAACTTCTTTTGTAATTTATCCAGTGTTGATCATTTTCCTAAATTTTACCAAATATGATAAAGTTTAGCTTTACATTGGGAAAATAATCATTTTCCTAGATTCCTATAGTTTTTGTGGTGTGTTAGTAGAAAGACATGCTGCCACTTGTTACTTTGATGTTTTTGCATTAGTGTTATGTGACTATTCTCGAGCTGCTGTGAAATTCTGGGCGGAGTCAGTTATGCTTGCTATTGCTATGATCAGCTCTATTTGTGGTCATATTGGTAATTGGTTGGAAATTAATATATTCATGTGTCTACAAAGTACAAACACTTTCTTGGCGGGACAGAGTAATGTATTGCTTTTCCTTTATGTGCATGCTGCTTTTTTCAATTTTTTTTTCAAAGAAGATTGAGTGCTGTTTCTTTATCTGTATGTTTTTCAGAGAACTGCTGGTCTTCTCTCTTTATACCTTCTTTTGTGTTATCTTAATAGCAGAATTTCTCTTTATTGAATATTTGCAGTCTGAGAGCTCAAACATTGGAAGAGATGTATCTGGTGAAGGTGTTCAACAAGCATTACTGAAAATGCTAGAAGGAACAGTAAGTTTTGTGTTATCATGAAAAACGACAGACTCACTTATACTGGCTTCTAGTTGAGCAGTTTCTTGATTTAAATTATACATGTTGGCTGGTTTGGTCATGATCACTGGTGCTATAATATTATTTTGATTATATGAACTAGATACTAAACTTTTGCATGGGTGGCACATATGGGCCTTTTCTTGTCTGTGTGGGCTAATGTCTGAAACTGTCTTTCCTGCAGTGATTTGTTCATCTAGCACATGTTATATATGTTGAATTCATCTGCTAAGCATATTAATTATGGATGAAACTTAATATGTTATTCAATGGGGATATTATCTTTGGAGCTTAATGTCAAATGTTCTATCTGATTTCTCCGAGAAGGTATTGCATAAACAATTTATTATCAGCTGTTAATAATTGCTACCTGCTTGATTATCACTAGTGGTTTTGTTCATCTTTGTATGCTGCTGCTGTCTACATTCACATGTCCTGCCCCTGGTCCGCTGCATGGATTTTGAATGAGAATTTTCTTGTTAGCTTGATTTGCACTCATTTTTGTCTGCTTTGTTGAATCTATCTTCTTTGTTAGATAGTAAATGTTCCGGACAAGGGTGCTCGGAAGAATCCCCGTGGTGATAGCATACAGGTAAAACACAATTTTTAATGTTTGTTATTTATTTGTGTTGTCAGCTCTTTAACATGTTTTCCACGCTTGTGTTCCTGTGTTGCCTATTGTTTAGCGTAATCTTAATTTCACGGGCCTATGATATCTCATTCCGTGTTGAAATTTCTGTAATTAATCCTTGTGGCTAAATTTTTACTGTGGTAGCCACTCGAATAATTTCTCTACCAGTATATTCACTAAAACAGTTATGGGGTTGAGCCGTAGAAAATAAGGGTACAAAAAGGATGTCGCGTGTGATTTTGAATCAAATGCTAAAGAATGACTTTTGCAGTTGGGCAAATAAAGAATCTGTTACAGAACGAACGACATTTAACATAACATAACAGCCTTGTTTTAATTACATGGGAGAGCACCAAGTTCAACCAGCTGAGATTTCTTATGATATATGGTGGGCAATTGGTGACATGTCCAATGTCCAAGTTACAAATGATGTATAAGTAGTATGACTCTTGCAAAATATGTTTGCAATGGCTGATAGAACATTGTTCTGTTTTAAAGATGAATTCGCCTTGCTTACATTAGAGCTATTCTATAGAAGCCTAGAAGGCTATTGCACTCTTCTTTATTATGGGATATCTTATACCTATATAGCCTTTCTTTATGAGGTATGCCTCCAATGAACTTGTATTAATAATGTTCATTGCATTGAACCCTTCATATTTATTGGTGATAGCAAGCCATGCTTTTACTCCATCCGTGTTTTAATAAGTGTTACACTTTGACCGGCACATAGTTTTAGGCAATTTAATTGACTTAAATAAAATAAGAGGTAAGTTGGGTAGTCGGAGTAATTAAAAATTGTAAAAGAAAGATAGTGGGGTTAATAGTTTATTGAAAAGTAATGAATGTAAGAGGAAAGAAATAATAATAAAAAAAGTAGTAGTGGGTTTGGGTGGGGACCGTGAAATGAGAAAGATATAATATTAAAATGTAACTTTTTTCCAAAAAAGGAAGTGTGACACTTATTAAAACACGGCCGCATTTGATAAGTGTAACACTTATTAAAACACAGAGGGAGTAGACTTTGGGGGCCAAATCTGTCTTAGGGAATTCAGCCTTAAGTCTTGAAGTGATTGAAGCCCGAAGAACATAGATTAAGATGAGCAAACTCACTGCCTTTTTTTTTGTAGATGAATAAATAATTCCATTTTATTGAGAAATGCATCCAGCAGATGGTGCTAAGCATGCCCTCAATCCATAAAATGTTTTTCGAAGGCAACATAGATGAGTTGGAAAATTTAGACTAGCAAAACCTGGAGAAAGTTGTTGCTTGTGTACTGTTCTGTACACTACCATATAGGAAAGCAACTTTCTTGCATCAAATAAATGCAAGACATAAGTGAGTAAGAACAAGAGTTAGCACCGTACAAATTGTTGCTGGCTTCACCACCACCAGACGAAACATTTCAAAGCAATCAACACCAAAGTGCTGAGTTTTACCATAGTTGTGCATTGTGCAAAAATTGCCTTATTAATTTGTTATTAAACAACCACAAGGAATGATAGCAAGGCACCAACTTCCAAGTGCCGTTATTATACATAACATTAAGTTCATTTGCATGGCTACTATCTAATCAGGTTCCTATAGGGTTTGAGTGTGAGAATAGGATACAGTAGTGGCAGTAGATATGATGCAGAGATTAAGACGAAGTTTACTTGTAGATGCCATATTGACTCCTAATATTGTTGTTGGGAGATGGGATAGTGGGAAGAACGACATTAGGTGTAAGCGTAGAGGCAGTAATCATGCGCCTAGTATAGTAATATAGACTTGCCCAAAGAAGTGAGGGGGTTGTGGGTTTGGGGCGAAGCCATGGGGTGGCTGTGGGGAGGCAGGTTGATGACTGTTGTGGGAGGAATGTGCAGTGGCAGCAGACACCACAGGTGGCCTGTGGGTAGATAATGTAGGCTGTGGAGTGGGCTGTTGGGATGAAACCGAGGTGCTATTCTCAGTCTGCTAGGTTATTAATGTTGGCTGTAGTGAGCTGATGAGTAATAAGAGGGACAATTATGAGAAGTAGAGGACAGAGAGTGGACTTCAGCAAACAGACAGTTGGATTCAACTCATGTAACTTGGCAAGAAATGTTTAGTTTGTTCTTTGCTAAGTCAAGACATATATAAGTAGTATAACCTTGATGATTGGTTGGGAAATTAAGAAAAACGCGTAGTATGGAGCTGAGTTGAAAGTTATATAAAGTAATGGCAGTCAGCTTAGGAAAGCATAAGCTACTGAACACTCATGGCATCTTGTGAATTAAAATGTGAAATGGATAAACTGATAAAGTGTTCTGTTCTCAACTTCTCATTTAATATTGTTTGATGCTTGACAGATCAATACAAAAGATATTTTGTTCATATGTGGTGGAGCATTTGTTGATCTGGAAAAAACTATTTCTGAAAGGTGTGTATTTTATGGGTTTTTTTTTCTTCCTAATTACTACCCAACTTACCTAGTCTTCCTACAAACTGCTCTAATTGGTGTGTTAGTATTTTTAGAGTAATTCTAACTTACCTTGTCTTCCTACAAACTGCTCTATTTAGTGTAGTGGTGATTTTTAAAGTAATTCCTATTTATGTTTTGTCAGGCGTCATGATTCATCGATTGGTTTTGGAGCACCAGTTCGTGCTAACATGAGATCTGGCAGGACAACTGATGCTGTGGTTGCATCTTCATTATTAGAAATTGTGAGAACCAAATTTTAAGCGTACTTCCAAATTTGTTCCTTTAATTGTTTTGTCGATGTGTGTAGCTTTGACCATTGACTTAACCTTCAAGTTGCTGTTGATATGCAGGTAGAAAGCAGTGATCTTATTTCATATGGTCTCATACCAGAATTTGTTGGCAGATTTCCAATTTTAGTGAGTTTATCTGCATTGAATGAGGATCAACTCGTCCAGGTTGATTTCAGCTCTCTTGTAGTTGAACCACCTAATTCTTACAGAAAATATTTTCATGAACTTGGTCCATATCTCTTTCAACCCCTCTCCCCTGGCTACCAAAATGCAAATCAGTACTATAATATCAATTTATGTCCAAAGTCATGAAGTATGACTATAACATATTGGCTGTTTATGTCAGTTAAACATTCTTGGGGAGTTTAAATAATGTGGCCTCGAGAATTTGCTGCAAGTAATATCAACTTTTAATCATTGTGTGTTTAATGATTTGCCGATGCCTGTAGAGGGAACATAAAGGGATACTGACATGATGTAGTCATTATAAAATAAATAAGTAAAGTTATTTTATAACAAATTTAACTGTTAATCAAACTCCAGAAAATTAATTTTTTTAGCTTATCTACAACTTTAGTTATCTATAAATTGATTTAAGCTAAAAATTAACAATTTTTGTTAGCTTTAATTATTTTTTGTGATTTAATTAACACTTAAGTTAGCTTTAAATTGATTTTTGTTTTTTAATTAACATATATAGTCATATTGTCTAGTCATCATGGCATTTTCATTAATATATCAACAATAGTGGGACCCATATTTAATACAAAATTGTTGATTTATTTACATTTTTGCCATTTGATAAACAAATTTTGTTTATCAAATTGGTTAAGTGGGACTCCCTCATATACAGAAAATAGTGCTGTTAGATAATCTATGTTTTGGTTAGATTTAAGTATTTTTTGCTATATCAATTAGAATATATTTGTTTAATTTCTACTTCGGCAACCGCATATCGTTTAGTGCACAATGATTGATAGTTGGTATTATTTACAATAGATGCTGTATTATATAGCACACATCAGCGATAGTTGGTAATTTTATATAGCCATTTCCCTTAAAATAAATCTCATTACTAGAAATAGGTTTAAAGTGAGTAGTTTACTTGTATCAATAGTATAATATTATAAGGTATACCAGAAATAATAATATTGATATTTATTTATTTTTACAAAATATAATTGTAAAAAAGTTTAGCTTTGAGCTCCCAACTTTTGTTGCGATTTTTTGGGACCCGAACTTTTTACAATAATAACTGCAGAATTCTCATGTTCTCTTGTTTGTAAAATCTATGTTCTTTACCCTTTTGGAAAGCAGCAACAAGAAGCAGTGGGGTGCAATCACAGTGGTTCCAGCTTGTTCTTCTAAAGACTTGTGTCATCATAACTAAGTTTTGCAATCAGGCTCTTGAGTCTCGCTAAACTTGCTTGAGTTATTTATAATGCTTTTTTGAAATCTTATTTTTGTGTGAGGATCTTATTTGTATTTAGGATTTGCGGATTTGTAGTACTTCTCTTTGTAGGTCTCATATTCTAACTCAAGGGGTAAAGTGGGTGATTACTGGGAATGAAACTCAATGGGCATGGCTCACTCTATTTTAAGGAACCCATGAGACTGTTGGTATTGATTAACTGTTTCATTGGCAGTGCAATCTTGTATTTTACATTGCCATAAAAATGCAATTAAATAAGAAACTGAAGGTGTTAAACTCATGTCAATATGACAGCCATATAATTGTAGCATAATGCTATTGTCCGTCTTTCCCTCTCCCTTCTCCGAAGTATATAGCTTCCGCCTCCAAAAATGTGGTTTGCAGGTGACTTTTGCTCTTTTGGTTGTCTTCCAGGTCCTCATGCAGCCAAGAAATGCACTTGGTAAACAATACAAAAAGATGTTTAGCATGAATGATGTAAGTTGGCTGTTTTTATCTTGCTTATACTGCTCATTCTGCTCCCATCACATTTAATTTTTATTTTATCATATATGTTTTTTTTTTTGACCTTCAAAGTGATGCAGGTCAAATTTCATGTTACAGAGGAAGCTTTGAAATTAATTGCAAGAAAAGCAATGGCGAAAAATACTGGTGCGCGTGGCTTAAGATCGATATTGGAGACCATTTTAACTGATGCTATGTTTGAGGTATTATGTTTTAACCCCACTAGGAATTTGAAGATCTGGGAAGTTATTTTTTGTTTGGCAATCTTCCTATAGGAACTGCATAGGAGAATTTCGTTTCATGTATTCCGTGACAGAACAGTGCTATAACATGGTGTTTGCTTCTGCTTGTGCAGGTTCCAGATGCCAAAACAGGAACTGATCGAGTAGAAGCAGTTGTGGTGGATGCAGAAGCTGTTGGTTCAGTTGATGAAACAGGTTTGGGAGCCAAAATTTTGCGTGGAGACCATACATTAAAACACTTTCAGCAAGAAACTAAATCCAGTGATCAGATGGTAATTCTTTTACTCTTACACTACTGATTAACTCCTTGGGTTTTATTTAATTATTTATTTGGGTGGGATGTTCATTTTTTGTTCCTTCAATATTTTTGTTTTTCCTATTCCAAGCCTTTTTTTCCTACTTATATCCCCTCCTACCCACTAAATACATTAAACCACTCGCACTAAACTATTCTCCTAACATTGCCCAATAATCTCCTTGTCCACACTTTGCCTTGGTCTGTATGTAATGTGAAGCTACTAGAATAAAATAGAGTACTTAGACGAGTTAGCTGGATGATTTCATGTGTTTCTAACTTTCTACTTAGTGAGGGTATTAAAGATCTGTCCGTTTTACAATCATGTGTTATTGGAGCTTGATCATTGAAAACTTTTGTTGCTTGCAGAAGAAAAATGAGATAAAGGTTGAATCACCAGAAAGTGATTTACAGTTCGAGTGCAGATCTATGAGCTTGTAATATTATTTTAAACCTCTTTTTTGGCATGCTTTCTAATGTACAATTTTTAAAGAAAATCCGAAAGAGAAATATGTATCAATGTATTGTGTTACCTTTGGGTTACTGTCAGGTATATATGTGCATTATGTTAGCAATTGTTTTTTATTTAATAGAAAAATCCGTATTGACATTCCATTACCTTGTCTACAGCCCCTTACGGCTTTTTGGTATTAGAAGGAACAAGGTTGTCAAGATCGAGATTCCGCTTTAGATTGATGATGATGAGGCGGTAGGATCGAATTAAGTAAAATGATATAGAATCACAAAAAAGCTTGAAAAATGCTAAATCAAATAAATTTGTGACAAGGGCTAAACACATCTTTATATGCTAACCCCTAAATCAAAGCGTAGGGTCAAACCCAAAGGAGACACTAAGCACTACAAACACTATCACCAATTAACGTGAAAGATGATAAAAAGGCATAATTTACTCTCCTGTCGGGAGTAATTACTTTCTCAAGCGTACACAATTACATTGTCGTCATAATCATGCATGAAATGAGGTAAATAAACATGAATCATCTAATGAGCATCATTTAATCACACTGTTGTCATAATCAAGGTCAACTCACCCAACTACAACCATTGGTTGGACACACAATAGAAATAATTGGTAAATTCATGAAAACAAAGACTTTAATCACTAATCAACCATTAATCCTAATATCCTAACATGCTCAAGATTAGGCTAATCTATCACCATTCCCTTTGTTGGGGAACTACTCACTAATCATGCTAATAACAAGATTAATCAACAAATTAACAAGTATCAACATGATTAACAAGCAACAAGAGAAAACAAAGCAAGTAAAGAGTTAAAAGATAGCTAATAAAGAGTTAAGGGGAAGAACTTACTAAAGGAGCTTCATTAATCTTCAAAAGAGTTGATTACAAATCATCCAAATCATGAGATTAAGTGTTTTCTCTCTCTAGAATTTAGCTAAGAACCCTAGGTTAAGCTAAGCTAAAAATGTATAAAAAATGTCTTAACTTAAGGCTTATATAGCCTATACAAAATGAAGTTATAATCGGGCAATGGTTCGGCCGAACAAAGGGTAAGTTCACCCGAAGTCTGGGTTGGTTCGACGAAACTCCTTGTGCCAGGTTAGACCGAACTGTTCAAATGTTCGCCGAACCTCCAAAGATAAAATTCGACCAAACTTTTCAACAGTTCCTTAGCCTTTGTGCCTTCTTCTCAGTGCTCGGGAATGGCAAGGAACTTGCAATGATTCAACAAAGATTACGGAGTAGAGCGAATGATGATAGAATATATCAGAATTCATTGAAAACAAGTATAAACACATATATCTTTCATCGAACAAACGTAAAGCCACAAGATAGAAAAACCCAAGGAAACAGGAAAAATTAAACCTAATACCTAGCCTACCCATATCCTTACCCGGAAAACCACTCGTCTCCCCATCCCAACCTTGTTCGAAGAGTGGGGTTTTGTGGCTAAAGAAAGGGAGGTGGTGTGGTTTCCGGTGGTGGGCTAGGGGAAGGGGGAAGATTTCGAGGTGGTGGGCTAAGGGGTGACGATTATATTTGGAGTGGTGGGGGTGGAGAGGGGTGGTCGTTTGGGGGGGGGGGGGGGGGGGTGTAAGAGGTGGCCTACCAAAAATTTGGGTGGTGGTGGGGCCAAGGGTTTGGGTGTTTTTTTTTTAATCATTTTTTTAAATCTTTATGTTTTTTAGTTTTTTGGACCAATCATGGGTTGACACGTATCTGGTAACCTGCTATAATAGGTTGAGTGATCGATTAAGACCAATAAAAGCGCATACATTCTAAAGCTCGGATCATGTTGAAACAACATGAAAGTCAATAACTAGAGTTTTCAAGCAAAATAATTTTAAGCTAGCAATCTCTAACACGACACGACAACACAATCAAAACCAGCACGACACAAGCACAATGTTACTAAGAGAAATCATGAAGCCAACACGACACGACACAAAACCAATCCAAACACGCTGGTATAAGCTTAATTAGTCTTCAAAATACTTCAATTCTTTTTTCAGGAATTATTCAGTTAATATTAGGATTTAGGATGCAACTTATCATAAAATTTGGTAACTGCTAGTACAAGTATATTGATATTGATAGAGTTATGAGAAAGATAATGTTGGAAAGCTTAACTATATTGATGAGTATACAAAGAGTATATAGTACATAAGTATGCATTAGACTATGACTAGATACGTTGGACTTTATGTCTAGGTACATTAGACAATAGTTAGGGAAAACTTTGACAATCAACCTAATTGTGTAAATCAAAGAGTAAATCAAGGGAAATATCATTATCCTTTACAGATATGGTTATTACTTGTAGGGAGTTTTTCAAACCCAACTTTGAGCTCCACTGTGATCATGCTTTTAGGCATGGTGGCGTCCAAAGGGAAAAAAGCTAGAGATAAAAGAGTCGTCAAAAAGTTTTAGGAACTTGTAAACCGTTCACGGGTGTGAAAGTTACACCACATTCACGATCACGGAGATCGCTAACTCCATAGTGGTTTGGAACCATGACTGGATATTCAGGGATGATGGTACGAATCCAACCTAAAAGAGATTGAACCCGCCCTAAATCGACCTCTACTTTTTTCTTATGATATTCATGTGTGCTTTCTGATCAACATACATACATTAACTAATCCTAAGCATATTTAATCTATATTGGTTGATTATTAATGCACAAATAAATCTATTATTGGTGATCACTTAACTAAAATCATATTAGCCTAAATCAAATTATTAATTATCTTATTAGGCGTGATTTCAAATACAAATTCCCTTTAAACCTGCAAGAAGAGGTGTGATCAAGCAATAACAATTAATCATGAATAATCAAGCAACATAATTAACACAACAATCATCATCATAATCAAAACCCCTCATCAAAACATTATTAAAGCATGATTAGCAAGATCCTAGGCATAATACTTAACGGATTAACAACAAATCCTAGCATGTTACTAAAATTCATAATCAAAGCATTAGCCCAAACATGATACTAGAAACATGATATTAGAAATATTAGTTAACACCCTAAATATGATACTAGGAATCAAAATCAACATCCTAATATGATACTAGGAATCGAAATAATATGCTAACACGATTCTATGTCAAAAGAATAATTTAGTACTCACTTTGATGCCTCGTATCTCTTTCTATCAAAACAATACACACGTTAGTAAACTTCAAGAAAGATTAAATCAAATAAATCAAATAAGAATTGAAATATAGATTTGGGACCAAACTCTCAGAACTATCAACCTTTCACGTCGAGGTCGAAGGCAACTTCGAGCTTGGATTGGAGTATTCAAGGATCGTGAAGGAGGTATGGTGTTTGTTTGGGAAAAGTATCAAAGGGTGTGTGTTTGGGAGGTTTTTAGGCTAAGGTTAGAAATCAAGAAAGACGAGAGAGAAAAGCTTTAGCTTAGAGAGAGGATTAGATGATGATTGAAAACGAGGTGAAACAACCTCTATTTATAAGGAAAAAAGAGGGTCGAAGGATCTGAAAAGAGTCAGAATCTGACTCGGAGTAAAACAGATTCCATTGCGGCGCGACAGCCTTGTCGCGGCGCGATGATGCTGTCGCTCAGCGATGGTTTTTGAAAGATTGAATCCATACAAAATTCTATTCCCAATCGGATTGGGTTAACCGAATATCCGTACGTATTCTATTTTGACTAGGATTAGGATCATTGAAAAACAGATGTTTTATCCGATGTAAAATTCTTAAATCTTTATCTTTTAAAAAATAGGATAAATTAGAACTTTCTAGAGGATTCTAGAAGCTAATAATAAATCCGAAGGGATTTAGGATCGAAAAAAACCTTCTAGAGGATTCTAGAAGCTTGTAATAAATTCTAATTGGTTCAGGGATGAGGTTAAGGTTAATGGACCCTCCACATGGTCATTGGGTCGCAGATAAGGCTTGGTTCGGGTTCAGTTTAGTATTTTGGCCATAACTTTTTCATTATAAGTCGGATTTGAGCTTATAATATATCGTTGGAAAGCTCTTTTTAAGCCCCATCCAACTACACAATAATTGGACCAGGAATATGGGCCAAAATAA